GTACTTTAGAAAATAAGCGTACATGTTTATTCAAACTTCTCAATAATTGAACATGTGTTTGTTTATTAACAGCTGTCGCATGTATAAAAAAAACTAAAACTAAATCTATTGCAAGACCAAAATTTAATTCTAAAAACAATACAATGTTACCAATGGTTTTGAAATCCGGACAGAAAACAGATTTTAGTGAGAGCGGTGAAAAACGAGAAACTAGGTAGACAAAAGAAAAAAGAAAGTTAGAAGGAGAAATCGTCGGTTTTAATGGAGGCAGTTAGCTCCTTTGAGTGAGAGTAATCGCGAGCACAAAAGATATTAAATAAACTGTTGTAAATATGCAAAAAGCAAAAGTTACATATGATTTTGCACTTGAAAATAGAATCTTCAGCGGATTCAAGCATCAGGCATAGGTCGCAAATGTCACTGTCATGTAAACGGTTCATTTTCAGAAAGGGTTTGTGATAAGTATGGTTGGTCATAAGTCTGCAGAAGAATTTGGTCTCCCAAGACGACAAAAGAGAGTCCGGCAAGGGTTTGAAGCACACGGATGAAAATATTTTGCAATCTTTGAGTGTTCTTCATTTAGTTCGCTGATGATGGTGTTTTGGATTGAATGAAGGAGTTGTTCAGCATATCAAATTGATTTGAGGGTACTTCTTTTTAATGAGAAGCCTTAGCAGGTCCTTTGCCAGAGAAAATGATAAACTTTATATATTCATTCGATATAGCAAGATCGATTGCCTGTTTAATGGCTCGTAATTCATTGATGGTGGATGACAGATTATCAAGGATTTTGGCTTTCTAGATTGCGTCGAGGCGATATGTAACAACAGCAAAACTGAATATTTCTGGACTTACAAAGCCGTCTGTGGCGTGTATTTCAAGGCAGTGATTCTGGTAAAACTAGCTTCGCATGGCACAAAGCGTTAAGAGTTGATAATGGAATGTTCCCTTTACTGTAGTTGAGCGGAGCTGAAATGTTGATATTCACACGACGGTTGTTGTCAACAGAGTTTCAGATAGGAAAGGTGTTTTATTTTTCGAAAATATGCCTGAACTCTAACCATGTCCTTTATGTCGCCTCAACCAACCGCAGAGGATTTCCTTTTCGAGTGCAAAACCATTGAGAGATCGTTATAAGAAAAAGGAGTGATATGGACTGGGTAATGAGACAGAGCAGGAAAAATTAACGAGTTGCTGACAGGCATATATATAATTTTTATTGTCTGCATCCGTTCATGTATGAGTTTATTTACAGTTCGGGCACGGTGCCTTCTTTTCCCTTTCTATATGAGATTGGTGAACCCATAAGAAAAGCTACAAACAAAACTACCGCGTATTGGTCGCCGTAAAAAGCCCCCCACGCGTGGAAACATGGATGTGAGATTAATTTGGAAGAATGCGCACAACTGAAGAAGGAAACTAAGGAGAATTTAAAAAGAAAAAAAAAAAGGAGAACGCTACCAACGATTCTTTTTGCAGATCTTTGAACCACACACAGCAAGTGCCAACACCAACAACAACAGAGCTAGCGCACCACCACTCCAAACAATGCAAAGGGCAAGCGGAATCAAATTGGTGGTTGTTGCCACTCCTATGTAACAGCATCTAACCAAATAACATGATACAACAGCAACTGCAAAATTCTTTGAACATGCTATATCCTCAGGGAAATAATGCAAACGTTTTCGACTCGGATTCTCGCCGATTTCTTCGATATCAACCACTGTAACTCCGACCAGTTGGAACAGTATGAACAACATAAATAGTGGCATGCACAAAGATTCTCTATCAGTTACGTCTATGCAAGGAAACAGTATTAATCAAGTAACCGAACCTTCTCTGTCGACAACAAATACCCACAAAACAGCAATAACAGGAAAAAAAAGGAAAAGAAAATATTAATTTTACCCGACCAACAACAACAAGCACATTCCCCTAGGGGGGAACGCTTAAATATACAAAAATCAAGAAAAAAGAAAAGGAAAGCAAGGGATTCTTTGCTTTTTGTTAACATTTTATACTTGTTGAGGAGGTGGATTTTTGGAAAAAAAGGGAAAACCTAAAGGAAAATGTAACGATCGATAGCAAAGTACTTCTCCCTTTCAATAGAAATGAAATCATACTTGCCCAACAGATAATTTTGAAAACATAACATCTCATAATTTCCTTTTCGTGCAGAATTTGCCGGGAACAATCATACGTTGAAATTTTATCGCTGGGTATGTTGCAGATTATGAGTAATTAGCAAAAAACTCAATTGTTCATTTGCTCTTGAGAACCAAAATCTTGTCAGTGTATAGTGCAACGCAAACGTGTCGTTTTACCTATCCTGTTGACTTCTAAGGCAATTATTCGGGGATGCGAGTTTGGAAACCCCTGGCTGAAAACATTATTTTCATATGTTCAGAACGTTCCTTGGGTTCACATAAGTGAAACGTTGCAAAAATTTGACTACAAAACTATGCTTGAAGTCAAAATATTTAAAAAATGTTCGTTATAAAGCCTATGTAAGTGAACCCTTTTCTTAGTTATTTTCGCTAGAGTCTGAGGGTAAAACGATTTGCCTTCGTGTCATACAATCTGAAGAAATTTACGGATTACGCAAATATATAGTAGCGCCGCACACGTTAAGTATGAAAACTGGAAGGCATGATAACATCGTTGCTTTTGCGCCTGAATTAGAAAGGTATTATCTATAAATAAATGTATTTATAAGCGAATAAATATAATTCCTATTTAAAAGAGCACTAGACAAGCAAAAATTTAAAAAGCAAAATAAAGCCAAATTAAAAGTGCCACAAATTATGAAAAGGTATTCGTACTATACACAAACAGACACAATAAATAACATTAAAAATCATTGTGAATAATATATAAGCTATTAATTGTATAATGAATCAGAGCTTATTACACTCTCGTCACTCTTCTATAATGCGTATCAATATTTTTCAATTTCTTCGTTTATAAGGTTAACTTTGTCGTAACATTAAAGCAAAGAAAATCTGGTTCGGAACTATTCCTTGCAAGTTAGGGACACATATCTTTGAAGAAAAGCTCACATACGGGTGCACATATCACTAGTATGATGATCGATTTCAAAAATTTAAAATACAATAAACCAAAAATACAATAAAACGGAAGAATCTCAAAAAAATTTGAAATACAACAAAACAAAATACAAGATACGAATTATATTTTCCAATGTTCAGTCAAGAAAATAAATCATTTTTGAAAATTAAAGAATAAGCGAACCTAGACTACGCTACTAACCCCTTTAAGTTTGTGAAGGCCAAAACAAAGAAGGAGGAAAAAATTAAATAGCGGGGGAAGAATAAAGCAAGCAAAAAAAGAGGAAAACAGAAGAAAACATTCAGAAAAAAACAAGTAAAAAAAAGAAAAAGAAAGGAGAAAAATAAATAAAGAGAAAAGAAGAAAATAAACAGAAAAAAAGAAAGAAGAAAACACTCAAGAAAAAAAAATTATTAGTGCGCCCAGGGACAGCACCGAATCGTGTATTCCTCTTTTATTACTAACAATCACTCTCACGCTGCCACCAGAACGTCCACATTACGCGCAGCTCGGGATTCTACTCCAACATCGCAGCATCAGTCAACGGCAGCGGATGCCAAGGGTACACCAGTGCGGATGGGACTACATGTCAACGAGACAGCCTGCACCGCGCATGACGTGCGAAGCTCTGCATCCAACTACCTCTCTGATTCATATCGACTATCTCTAGATGCAACTACTATTATGATTCATATCGATTATCTGTACATGCAACCACCAAACGTGAAATTCACCGAACCTTCCACACCAGTTCACGAGATGAACCCCGGCGATAAGACTCCGTGGGGGCTCTCTGCGACCCAGTGGATGCTCCGAGATCAAGCGCTTAGTACGCGAGACTTGCGATACCACCGAAACCCACAAGTCTGATGAACAACCGACGCTAGTTCGCGCACTAGCGGCCCTGTCGTTCACCGAGCCCGGCACCAAGCAATGCCGCCGAGGAGCCATGGAAGATAGGGCCGCCACGTCTCACCCCAATGTCGCAAAACCGGCACCACGCCAACGGGCACGAGCCCAAAGGGGCCAACCGGTCTCACAACGGTTGAGAACCATGCCACGGTCAGTGCAGCAAGCTCCCATGCAGCTGTAAGAAAACATGCAGAAGGAATTCCGCCGACGGCGGCGCGGGCTCGAGGAAGCCTTCTTCGACGGGAGTCGACGGTATCGGCTTATTCACAACCACCACCGAGAATGGAGGGTTATTGAATTATCCTGGCTTCCACCCGCCATGCGCGGCCCTCGCCGCACTCGGGACACCGCGGTACGGCGTGCACTTCCCCAAGCGTCCATCTAAGCAGAGACCCTGCCACAATACAGCCAGACATCAAGTTTTTCCAAAGGCGGACTTGGCCCAGTCGCCACCCGGCCATCGAATCACGGATATGCCGGCGGTAGTCCGACTTAATTCAACCGGAGTCATCACCCGGATGTTCGGAGAACGCCAGTGTACAGGAGCACCGGACCGGAAGACCGTGCTTATCGACGGACAGCTGTACGTAAGCAGCGTTAGCCACCGAGGGGAGTAGGCAGCCAAACGGGACGGCCCTCGCCGCACCCGGAGGCGCTAAGTACTTACAGAAACAGCAGTAACAACAACAACAAACGCCAACCGAGCAACATATCAATCATAACAATGGCATCACGGCAACTACAACGAAACATCCACTGCAACAGGTGGCTCTCACCCTTAGCACAAGACGGACACCGAGGACACTGCTGCAGGAAATTCTGCCAAATTCTAACACAACGATAATCCTGGCCACAACCGACTACTCTCACCTCAACCACCAACGGTAACATGGCATGTTAGTAGGACAATCCACCAATGGGAGGCGAGTGCCACGCCCGATGGCACTGCGCCCGTCACGAGGTATAGCACACTGGTCTGTGTAAGCAACAAACTCTGCAGCCATATTTCGACTCAACCCACGCAATATAATAGCATCCATCAACATGAGATCAATTACAACGGCGAACAGCCGCGCCGCACCGAAGCCGTCATCGACCGGCCAGCTCCGGAGAGGCGTGCCACCAGTCTTCTATTCTAGTTAACGAAGCATTGCGCGCTCCACCATGTAATAAAGGAGAATCGGGCAGAAAAATAAGCAAAATAGAGGTAATTAAATTGTTTTATAAAATTAACTTACAAATTACTTTTTTTTTGCTTTCTATTTCAGAATACAAACGATCCACCAAACGAAGAAGTAGAAAGAGCATTCGTGCTTTAAATGCAGCAAAGTAAAGGTAAATATATTATTATATATTTATATTTTACTTATTTATTTCTTCTATTTTAGATAAGAAAAAAATGAACTCCAACTTTCCGCTCAATGCCTCATTGCACAAAGTTTCGCTGTATGCCAAAGGTAAGTTTGCATTTATCCTTTCTTATTTTCATGTATAAATTATTCATTTGCTTTCATTTTACTTTAGATTTAAAAAAAAAGCATACGCCTGCACTATCGCTTCAGCGGAATGCAACACTTCCATAGGCCAATGGTAAGTTTGTCGGCATCTTTATGTATAAAACTTAGTAATCAAATTTAATTATTCTTTTGCAGATATCAGCCGGAATATAAAGGCATTAAAAGTTACTATTGCGTTACATAGATTTAAGATATGTAAAGAAATTGTAATAAAGCGTATAAAAGAAAGAGAAAAGAGAAACTCATGTTGATTACTTGGAAAGTATTTTTAAAAAGATATTCGTCTGAGATTCGTATAGTATTTCTGGAAATCTCGATGGTATCTCCTTAGTAATTTTGTATGTCGGGCAGCGGCATAAGAATAATAATAATAAAAATAATCTATAATAATGATGAATGTGTGAATGCGTGAATGAGCGAGGGAGTGAATTATTGAATGCGTGTTCATTAAAGTCACCAAAGGCGAACTTCACAGGCTGTAAGGCATATTATTTTGAGCAGAACTTGAGATAGATAGGTTTCGATTTTGACAGTTAATTTCCATTTCTTTTGCACACAATCTGGCTAGTCTAGAACAATAGATTCTAGATAGCTCTGGACAATCTGCATTGCCGCCAATATGAATATAATGCAGATGTTCAATTTATGCTAAAGTTAGAAATGGAAATTGAAAGTTTGATTAACTTCTGGCAAATCTACTTAGAAAAATGTCATCTTTCTTAACTTTAATAAACATGCATTTTGATTGACTAATGCAATGAGGCAATGTGAATTCATTTGTTTTCTATTTTCAAAATTTGTGCAAAGGTAAAGTAATTTACTTAATTTTTTTGCGAAAAAAAAAATTGTTGTTCTTGAGGGTATAGGCATTAAAGTAGGACAACTGCGCTTTTTATAGACTCAATAAATTGAAGTTATTTTCTATTCTAGGAAGGCTATTTTTGAATATTTTCTTTTCACTGCAACTTGTAGAGATTTATGTGTTTTTAGTTTTTTTTTTTTGATGGGATATATATAAATATGTGTGTATATATTGGGTATGTATTCCCATGCACTTATGTGCACATTTTTTATGTTAATAAACTTTCTGTCTTTATTGGAGATACGACGATTCGATCAAAAGGAAGCGAACGTTTTTGAAGGATAAAGCGTTTTGGTCAATTTGTAATAATTTTGTGTATATTTATGTTCACTGGAAGGTCTGATGAAAAGAAAAGTAAAAATGTTATTTATTTATTAATAGAGTTCAATAGAGTTAACCAGAAAAAATTACATTTTTTACATACCATGGGACAATTTGTTTTAAAAAGTCTTATTGTTCCTCACGCATATCAAAGAAGCAAATTTTTCCTTCAACCTTTAGTTTTTAAACGCGCCAAGGAATTCTTTATATATTTTAGACAAATTTTTCAAAAAGCCTAAACGTGAACCAAAGCAACTCGACCAATGCCCAAAAATAGTAAATCATGATGATTAAGATGTCATAATTAGTTTGGTAATATCGACCAAATCTGCAACAACAATTTATTTTTTTTATTTATTTTAATGTTTTTTTTTCCTTCTCTAATTAGCTAAGTCATGCTTTAAAGTATCATATATATGTTTGCTTTATTGCATTTATTAAAATGTGAACAAATCGTTAAAGGCAAATATTTTTAACTCCATGCTAACCGTCTGTGCAAGTTCGATCTTAAAATTATCAATTAGCTGTTATATGCTATTGGAGATAAATAAAATGTTTGGCCATGTGTTGCATAAATATTATATTTTATTCGTTTATGTAATACAGTCAAACCTGTGTTTGTGCGGTTGATAGGGACCGCAGAAAAAAAACCGCACAAAAAAATATTCAAAAACGTCATATATAGCTATAAGAAATAATTTTTCACAGCATATTAAAGATAATTTTTTTTATGCGGTAGAGAGGGACCGCATAAAAAAAGTCTCACTTAGAAAATATTTCAAAGCTTTACGAAATAGCAAGAAAGTGCTTTCCAAACAAAATAAATAATTAAATTACACATTGAAACATTTAAAAAAATTTTAATTTCTAATTTTAAACAAGGAGAAATTTTCAAAATGTACATAATTCAATACTACTCGTCGTAGTTCAAAACGCGCATATTAATCCTGTCTTAATGGTTAAAAGGTCAGCAATTAACTAAAATGAAATGAACCTTACAAAATTTGGACCATCTACTCCTACTTTTGAATCCTGCCCCCATGTAAGGATTAAACTTGCATTGTGTTAGGTTGCGTTTTGGGCCAGCTTTTTTATAAACGTGCACATGGAAAATATACCTTTATATAGAAACAAAATATAATTTTTGTGTTCTATAATTTGTAAAAAAATAAAAACTTGTTACATTATGTGGTGAAGGATATTTAATCGCCGGCCTGAGCCGACTGTAATGTTCTTAGTTGTTTTTGTAGAACTATGTATTAGATAAATATGAAGTATATGAGAGTAAGGTCAAAGCTGAAGACTTACAAGTGCAAATGAGCCGTCAAGTCGGTTTCAGTGTCCACGTTCATTAAGATTTCCTATGGCTTGTGGCGCATCTATCTATTTCTTTCGACGATTTGCAAATATTTAACTTTGTGTAAGTGTCTGTAACTCTTAAGCAAGCCGAGTGAGATTTTGGATAACCTCCACTGAAGGATTAGGTCGGGCTCATTTCGTCAAAACGTTTGCAAAACTCAAAAGGAAGCTTCATAGACCTGATGCAATAGGTATGAAAATGGCTGTTGCAATGTGTACATACACACTGATAGCAAAAAAAGTGATGCCAACACAGTTCAGATTGATCTAACCTCTCGGCGAAATTCAATGTGTCAATATTCATATACCGCACAAAAAAAAGAATCGCACAAAAAGAATCGCACAAAAAAAATCGCACAAAAAGAATCGCACAAAAAAAGCGCATAAAAAAAGGCCGCACAAAAACAGGTTTGACTGTATTTAAATGAACGCAAGCATATGTAATACAATTATAGAAAAACAACTAACACATACGTACAATACAAAAATCAACTTTATTTTCGGTTTAGATTTTGATTTTGACAAAAATCGCTTTTGTTTGATTAAGTAAACAGTGGAGTTTTGCTTGAATTGGTTTTCGTTTAAGTAATCCTTCGTTTTGTCACCGATTTTTTGTTTTTTTTTTCAAAATGCTTTTCTCAAAAGGTTTTCTGTTTAATTTCTCACGCATACAGTTGTAATTACGTATTTGCTTACGCATCCATTTATTTATTTAAGTATGCATTTATGCAGCAGTGGTATAAATAAATTCCTCCCGATTTTTCATAAATTTGCAAGTAATTTGCTTTAAAGGAGTCTTAATTTACAGGTTGATGATAGCTGTGCCATATTTAAAAATAAACAAAAATTTTAAAAAATATTAAGACATCCAAAAAACATCTAAAGACGGAGCGGATAAAATTTAGTCTATAAGGTTTAGTATTAGTTGTATTATTAATTTGAAATTTAAATTCATAAAAAATGTAAAATTACTATGTAAATAAATAAAAATTAAAAAAAAATTAATCATTGTTTCATTTATATTTAACTTGATAATTATTTATTTTAATTTTTCTTTACACTACCATAAGTGACATTTTAACAAAAATTTTACATTTCTTTGTATAATTGGTGAGTAGGTAGTTTATGTATATTTATATCTTGCATCTCTTTCTAACAAAAATGGCACAGTGCGGCAGAACATACATAAACTACCTACTTTGGTGGTTTAACAAAAATTTTACATTTCTTTGTATAATTGGTGTATTTTATATACCATTTATTTTCAGGTTCGTCTCTTATTATTTATTTATTATAATATGTATTTATTATAATATATTATTATATATTATCCAAATTACTGTTACAATTTTATTTATGTATATATATTAAGTATTATAAGTATTATGCCAAGGCAAAAATTCCGGATCGACTATTTAGTGAATTATTAAAAGTATAACACGAGTTTTGAGGTGGTGAGGGATGTTGGCTTTGCACACTACTGTGTAAGAGGTTAGTCGACCAACTGACGGAGAAATCTGGTCAGCTACCATCAGATGAGGCAGTTTTAAAAAAACTTTATATTATTAGCTGTAGTTTGAGAAGAGTAGATAGAGGGAGAGGCGGTTGGATCACAATGCTTGAATACATTTGGCACGAGTGGTAAATAAAATGACGGGCCAAATACGTGACAAGAGAAATGTACAGATTGAGACTGATGACGAGGGCGAGGTAGGTACGCGACAACAGAAATGTAGAGAGAGACTGAGATTGATAACGAGGACGAGGTAGGTTTTCTAGTATTTAAGAAAAACTGCTGATGCAAGTGGGAGATATGGTAGGAGGAGGAAGAAGGAGAGACGGATAGGCAAGCGGGAGACACGATAGAGGTGACAGAAGAACCGAGTAAGGTACCATATGTGGAGGATAGGGTAGGAGTATATTGTTAATATATTGCTAATATATTGCAGTACGACTGCTTACACCGATTGACTGGATACAGAGCAAAATTGAAGCTAGTCCCCGACACGACAACTCTGTACATACGAAACTGTTGCTGCGTACAATTAGTCGCGGCACCTCGATATATAAATGAAACTTTTTAGTTTTTCATCGACATAACACCAGCCGCGCTGCAAGCGGCAGTAAACCAAAATATATTCACGGGTGATGCCGAGAAAGCGCTCCCGTGAAATATTTACAATGGTCACAAGGTTTGTAATAGGCACTGTAGTATACAAAAAAAATAAATAAATAAATAAATTATATACAAAAGAAAAGTAGTTATTTGTCACACAGAAAAAAAAAAAGAAACTTTGAGTTTTCTTGGGGGATAGAGAAAGAAAATTTGGCAGTTGAGGGATTGTGTTTTTCGAACGAACAGCTATGTGCTCACTGGAAGTAATTATAAACTCACTTTTAATTTGTCAGTTTTTGGAGATTTTGAAATTTGGTTTTTCCTTACACTTTTAAGGAGAATTATCATTTCATTGATATTTTTTTTCAAAAGAAGAAAAAAAAGAAAAATAACAGAAACTTC